GGGGCTTACAAAGAGTCATGTAGAAGCTCCATGTGAAACAAAAATGTGCAATTTAAAATCACTGCAGAAGATATATCTAAAAAAAATATGCAATTGCCATAGTAGATTATACACATAGAAGTAAAATGTGAATTTCTCACAGCGAAATGAAGAATAATGCACAGGAACAGTGCAGAAAGGCCCAGTATGGCTTCCTGTAAATCCCCACATTGTTCGGGTGATTTTAAATGCAGTTATATTCAACATTCTGCATTCAACTTAAAGCATTATATGCCAAATCTGATTGGTGTACAGTGCTGTAATCAAGAGCATCTAGGACAGGTAATGGTGCTTTATCAGTGAATGGGGTATACAAGAATACAGACGTCTTTCTGGGCCCTTCAGGGCACATTCACATATCATAGAGCCTATGCTGATTGTCATTCATATGCTTTTCCAAACCAGATGGTGAAAACAGTTATAACCTTAATTAATGTGAGGTGCTAAAAGACAGGAGCTGGCTGAGTTTCAGCTTCCTATTACAGTGAACTACAAATTCCACCATAAAAGTATAGCTTGCAGCTCAATTCAGTCTGCATTCCATCCTTCTGCTCAAATCTAACAAAATGCTTGAACATTAATCTAAAATAGAATGAACATGGCATTTTTATATTGTCCCCTACCATACGGAGGGAAAAAACAAATCCTGATTAAAACTGTAACATGTTGTATTCTAAAAGTAGGGAAACAATGTAAACGTGTAATGCAAATGTGCATGTGAACAAACAGGAAAAAAAAAACAACAGCTTACAGCTTTAAAAAAAAAAAATTATACACAAACAAAATAAAAACGGAAGTAAAAAGACACCCATGTGTCTTTTTTCAGTTCTTATATAGTGGAAGGTAACTTCAGTTTCCTCATGTGGACAGCTAAGGAAAATTAAACATAGCAGCAACTTCAAAGCTATATTCCAGGTTTGGGTGGAAGCCTCTAGAAGTGAGATTTCTGCTGAGTTCCTAGCTCTGCCCAAACATCACAGCCCTTAAGGTGCCCATACACCTGCCGATTACCGCGATCGTACCATAATCGGCAGGTGTATGGAAGGCGTGCGACTGTTTCTACTGTACGGTCGCACGTCTTTTGTCTCCCGAGCAGGCTTGAAAACCCGCCAAGAATCGTACGATTTTCGGCGGGTTAGTGGCGTTCTCGGGAGACAAATGCCACACGGGCTGGTGTGCCTGTGCGGCATTGGATTCATCGAAAGCCCTCCCCTCAGGGGGGCGGGCTTGCGATGATCGCAAGTACGATCGATCTGTCCAAGATAGGCAGATCGTACGAGCTTTTAATTACCTTACAACCATCGCAGGATGAAAGTCGTGCGATGGTTGTAAGGTGTATGGCCAGCTTTACACAGAGACTCAGTCTACCAGATGGATTTTTTAAAATCTATTTATATTACAGACAAAATGTGTGGCATGGGAGAGGTCTAGGACACAAGAAGTCGGCTTGCTGCTGGCATCACAAAGATGCCATATTCCGCCTACCAGTGCCAAGGCTTAACTGAAATACCAGGTTTTGGGTTTTTTGATGGATTAAAAAAAATTAAAAAAAACACCTATGGGGTTTATGAAGCACTTCCTAATAATTTTTGAGGACATCCATAAAAATGTATGCAGACTGAAAAAACAAACCACTTTTACTTGTAAACACATTAAAAAGGCGTTGGGAGTCAAGTCTACCTCATTCATAAAATAACCCTATAAAAAAGGGTGTACAAAATTTGCCTGGGTATTAACTTGCACTAGTATATAGAGACCCCCCCATCTGTAAATTATGAAAAGAATAAATGTCATATACATATACGTCACTATGGCGATATACTCCAAAGCAGTTGATTACTAGCGTCTCTGCCACCGTCACATATTGAGGGGCAATTCTACATTCAGAACCGCTATGCGGGAAAGCAGCCTGAACAGCTGCGGATTAATTAGGTGATGCATGTGTATTCTCACATATAGAATTAGATTTATAAAAGCACACATGCCTCTGGATAGAACATTTTAGTAAATATTATATAAAAATATATATATATATTTTACATTCTATAGCTAGATCATTCCGTGATCATGTTATAAGGATTTAGAGCTATACGTATTTTCATTTAAACAATTTGTATGTGATTATTTTACTTTAAGTGTATCTTAGGTCAAAGAACTAGAACAGGTGTAAAATCTTCCATTGGGGCACTTGTTCTGGTGACATCAGTCTAAGGAAGGGAAAGTGGGGTATTGCTTTTTTCCTACTTCCTGTGGTGTTTATGGGACAGGAACTAAAAATGATTTCCCTAATAGGACAAAGATGAGGGCAAAAAGAAAAAAAAAAAAAAAAAACCTGTTGTTAGGGGTTTTAACCATTCCCTACTCTATTCAACTCACTAAAAAAGCTTGGGCTTCATGTCACACCTGCATTGTGGCGTGAACAGGACACATAGAAAATATTTGTTTTATATGTGCCCTAGTGGTCACAGCATTGTTCAGTTGCTGAAAAACACTACATATAGTCTGAACAGGCCCCGAGTGGGTTTAAATGCAACTGCATCTCTTACTGCTACAATAACAGACTAGCGGCTGCCACTTTTCTTTCATCTTCGGGTCAGGGGATTTTCTGTACTGCAGGGTCAGCGAAGACGGACATATTATATGTACTACCGTCCAAAAAGAACAACTCCCCCTCCCCCACTAAATTAAAAAGGGAGTACCGGATTCTTTAAGCCCCCATACATTCTTGGTCCAAATTGGATACCCTGGACCACACACTGTAAAAACAGAACTTTAAGCACCAATGAATCCTTCAAATGGCTTTTCTCACTACTTAAACAGGCGCCAGATAATGGATCACCACAAGATGGCGACATTTATTCATCCATATACTAGGCACAGGTGACAATGATAAAGCATGCACAGGCTGGAAAAAAGAAGTTGATGAACAGAAAAAAGGAAAAATACACTAAGGCCTTGTTCACACCAAATGCAGACAAGATCCGGTCAGGTTTCTGCACACGCAGTGTAGTGGGTTGTGCCGCGTTTAGGGACGTTTTTTTTTGTTTTTTTTTAAGTTTAACATGGACTTTCAGGCACTTGCATGCGTTTTTGATGCGTTCCAGACCAGATCCAGAGCAGGTAAAATAGGGCTTGCCGCATTTTTTTCATCCGGTCTGGATCTGGTCTGGATGCGCACGCTGCGATGTGAACTGGAGGTCAAAATACCATAGGAATACATTGGACGCAGTTTTGATCCGGTCTGCACCTGCTCTGGTCCGGATCTGCTCCGCGCTTGGTGTGAACAAGCCCTAAATCTGAAGTCAAAAACTTTTTGGGGGGGGGGATAAAATGAAAATGTTAGAAACCCTGTCAGCTTTTTTGCCATCTGTATTACAGCTTGGAGATTTCCTTTACTACATGTCTGATAGCCATAACAGAAAGAGAGGAAAGAAAGCGAGGCAAATCCCTGGTGGACAGCAGGGTAATTGGAACTAGTGTCTCCACTGAAAGATTTCCCATCTATTCCTGTTCCTATTCCCAAAATGTGGGATTTTCTTTCAGTTACAAAGGTCACCACAACAAAGAGAGGGTAAATCTCTGCAATAAAAACCTGACAGGTGTGCTAACCCTCTCCACCCTATTCAAAACTAAAAAAAAAATTGAGTTTAGTTGCACTTTAAAAAGATACACATTGCACAGAAACTGGGTGTTTTTCAGCCTCCGAGTTGTATAATGGCTCCTATATGTACCTAAAATCAGCATAGTCAGCATTTCTCAAACCTTTCCATAAGGCCTACAAAACCAATTCTCACACGTTACAATCAGATCATGCAATCATTTTTTACTGCATTGGATCTTGTACTTACGGGTCTTCTGTTTGATCAAATGGTTGGAGAGGTTTTCCGCACAGCGACAAATGTGTAAAATCACAAATATTTCACTGGAATCTGGAACACCTATCATGCTTATTAGTACCTGGCGCTGCTGGGTCTGTTATTCTGCATAAGGCACTGGCTGAAGTTATAAAAAGGCATTTCTAGCTACCAAAAAAAAAAAACTAATGCTAAACAACACTTGTCTTTACATATTTAGATTTCAGAAGTTAACGGGTTTTTCGTGCAGTTCTAAAAAGCAGCTCATATAAACGATATAAAATTTGCTCCTTATTGTAGTCAGGGTAACAATAATAAGTGCTTTTAAAAAGAAAAGAGTTGCATCTATATAGAACAAATTCATTCCATAAACTGTAATAAGATAAAAGTGCCACCTACAAGCAGAGCTCTGTCTACACGACAAAAAAATATATCACAGGGTGTGATTGGCTCCTTTCTTTCAATGATTGATCAAAGATAATCCCGTCTCAGAAATCTGTGCGGCTGTAAAATAACCAACAATGTTGCATACTAATTACAGTCATAGTAATCTGATGCTGGACACACATTTCATTTCCCAGATTCTGACGCTTCAACTCATTACACAGACGAAGTGTGAACTGTGTACACATCCCTTTCGTCCTCCTCATTTCCTAAGTGCCATCGGTACCTAGATAAATCTAGACTTTATTCAACCAGACACCTCTTCAAATCAGAGAACGATCCTCCGCATTTAGAGCTTTCTTCAGTTTATGAATTCACTGTAGACAAACTTTCCTTTAACTGTGGTTGTCAAGCATGTGACGACACATCTCCTGCACCTCCAGCCTTTCCTTTAGTATTGCACGTTAAGTCTCTGTGACATGGGATTCACACCCAACTGCTGAAGCAATGCATTATATGCTTAAAAAGTCTGTTTGTAACGTTTCTTCCAAGACAAAAAGACAGTACGAGGAGGAGCTTCACAAATGACCATCAGGCAGAGGTAAAGGGATTTGAGAGTTGATAGAATAGGATTGTGGGAAATAACATTACAGCTGGAAGTTACATCCAATACGTAATTCTTGCTTTGTTTTAGGCTGCGGTCTTGCCCACAGCTTTCTTCTTGATTTAGCCTCCATCATGGAGATGATATTTGCAGAATGATATCTTTGGTTCTACAATCTTGAAAACTACCTCTAGAACTAGAAGCAAATCACTTCTACTTTTCTGATTACAGTCCCAGTATATCAGGGAAATGTCAGTAAAAATGTCAGTATCGGTGCCATGATGGCTGTTCAGTATCTGTACCCTGTATAAGTGCTATAATTATATTTGCAGCAAAAAGGTCACTAAAGAGTTATACGGCCACCTTGTTTCCTCTAGTAAGTACACCGGCAATATGGCCGAAAGGGATTGCTTCGGCGTGCGCTCCTTTACTTTGGTTACAAAATATACTTTTATATCCAAGTCAGTACGGGGTGGTTCCATCCCACTCTACCAAGTACTGGACTTTGCCTTCAGGGGTGATCCTCCGTGCCAATACTTGGTACTTTTCCCCACAAGCCAACCTTCCCGCAGCACCAAAATAAGTTGTGATGGAATGTTTGAGGTGAGGCATTGAGGAATCATCCTCACTGAGGCTCTCAAAAGCATGGCTGTCGGCAGCAGTGTCTTGTAAGTCAGAAGATCGAGTGTACTCCACAGACTCAGCGGCACAGCTGTTCTGTCTGTCTGAATGGTCCAGGGTCTTCCTCTTGGATTCAAAAGCAGTGTACATCTTAGAGGCTAGCTTCCGCTTGCGGCTTCCAACATTTCCGCTGTGACCACAGAAACATAAAATCAATGTAAAATAAGGGCAGGGAGGCATTTAACAAAAAGAAATAGTCATAAGACTCGCTGCATCTCAAAAACATGCAACCACTTTACTCTACAGGCTCCTGAATGGTGAAGTACACAATCCAACTGTAGCTATGCAGACAAAACAGGCATTATGCATGCCCCTTAGTTACAACCCCAATTCATTGGTTAGAGACAGCCAAACTTCAATGGGCCTAATAATTTAAGGAGCAATCATTTCTCCAATAGAAGTCACCTACCTCTACCATCCTTACAGTGACCTGTCAGGACAGAAATATGGGGACTGCAACTGCACTTTGCTTTTAAAGATGCGGACCATCATGCTTATACCTACTTGACTACTCTTCACAAGTCATATTTCTGCCCTGACAAGTTTCCTTTACACTACACAGGGAAGATTAGTAGATAAGGACACACCACTGTAGAAATATCCTACACTGTACAATTTTCTAAATCGTAGGGCTCTCTCATTAAGAGGTCTACAGAAAACCACCTTTGGAAATCACTAATTGCTTCCATTCACTCATAAATTTACAAATTAAAATAGGAGATGCCAAATATGATAGACAATGTCTGGTGTACATAGTGTACAAATCACAATCCTGCAGACAGAAAATCCAGAACCAAAAGGAATTTACAGGAAAAGTGGTAAACAGACAGTAAAAAGGTCACGGAATCTCCTCCATAAATGGCTCCATTAATATGTAGATGAAATCTAGAACTGGGCTAGTAATACACTCTGCTCTTCACCAGCTGTGAGGGGCTTCTACAGCCATATACTAGGAGTATCTACACCGCTTACCGTGACTCATATGATAGGCTGGTGGAGGCAGAGCCAGATGTGCTGGCTGCATCATTCGAGTCCAAATCAGAGGTAAAGTTCTGCCCGGAACTGGCACTGAAAGGAAAAACCATAATGAAAAAAAAAAACTGTGTTATTAGGATTTGGAGACGCATTTGTATACATGCCTTAGCAATTATCACCCAAAAAATCAATGCAGGGCACAGGACTTTGATCCAATACTCGGCAGTACCATTGTCCGATTTGACCTACCTTTTCAGGCTCTGAATCTCGTCCAATGTGAAATCGAAGATGCTGGCTAGGTGGTGGTTGGTGCTCCATGCAGAAGTGAAATCACTCTGTAATAAAAAGGAAAGTGACGAGTTGAGTGCGCCATCCAGAGCAGTGTTCACTTTGTATGCCAATTAAAGAGCCACAGAAACAAAGATAATTGAAGCAGAGGGAAGCAGGAGAAGAATCTGCACTTGAATCTACCATTGATAAAGATTTTAGTGTATGGTAAAGCGTTATGTTTAAAGTAAACCTGTCATTAGAAAAGGGAGTACAATAAAACATTATACCAAAGCAAACAGTATGTGGCAGCACATATGCTCCAGTCCATTTGTCCATCCTTTCCCCCAGTCTACCCTAATAGGAAACTTTCCTGAAAGTTAAGCGTTAAAGTGACATTAAAGGATCATTTTTTTCCCCTCCCCCCAATGTTAATGTCAGCACTTACCGTAAATGATATCTCCTAATCTGATCTTTCCCTTTCCTGATGTTTTCATCTGTCCCTCCAGCGGTGCGGCGGCTCTCCGATCCAGCGCTGACTCCTCTCTGCTTGCAGGCACTTCCGATCCAGCGGTGTCTGCATGCGGGTGCACGCGTCCATAGACTTACCTTGCGTCTCTGCTCGTCTCCCGGCCGAGAATCCGAACTGCGCATGCGCCCGCCCCAAGATGTTTTGCAGCCGCCGGAGCAGTTTCGTTTTCTGGGACGGAAGCGCGCGGGGAAGACACAGGTAAGTTTAAACCGCTGTTTTAAGGGAAACTGTTTTTTTTTAAAAAAAATCTGTAATTTTTCCTTAATATATAACAACAACAAAAACCCCAGTGGTGAATAAATACCACCAAAAGAAAGCTCTATGTGTCCCCAAAAAAGGGTATAAAATTCATTTCATACAGCGCTGCATGACGGAATAAATGTCAGTCAAAGTACCGCAGTGCTGAATACTGAAAAATGGCCTGGATGGGAAGGGGGTTTAACACCGCGGATGTCAACTGGTTAAGGCATGCTTCACCTCCTGTGTCCAACAATGCAATGCAGATGCATCAGGGACCTGGCAATGCACTGTGGGATGGGGTCAGTGTTTAATGTTGTTTCAGATTTATTAGCACTTTCCCCACAGAGATCCCAAATGCAAAAGCCTAGCTCTATGTTCGGTTCATGCAGGAAAGTACTAACACTGGGGATGGCGTCTTCGAGGAGGAACTGTGGCTGCTTCTGGCGTATTCCTCTCTTCTGTTGCTGGCAGTCACGAGGCAGCAGGCTGTAATAAGAACAAGACACACTCAGTGTTTGTGCATAACTTGTACAATAACTACAAGCACTATCTGCATGGGGTCACATGACATTACAGAAATTCTATTCATCTGTTATAAAGTGCTCTTTCATATAAGGGTATCAATAGACAGGATTATTATATTGGTGAAGAAGATGTTACTAGAACAAGCAATAATACCTGTTTTTGAGGGTATACTTGCTCCGTCCCTTCTTTTTACCATCACCTGCAGATCTGCCCTCAGCCTGGCCCAGAAGTTTGTCTGGCAGGAGTTTTCCAGGCGGGCTGGGCGGCACTCTGATCCTCAGTCTGAAGATGCACTTTTTTCTCTTAATCTCTTTGCCACAAAGAAACCTGAAACATATGTTTGAGAAGAAGAAGCTACAAAAGGCTATTTAACACTCAACAGAATGAGGAACCCCACCTCTCCAGACTAGCTGAAGCATCTATCCATCAAAACCTTGCCCATCCTTAAAGAAAAAACCGAACTGCATTATATGAGGATTTCAAGAACAACAGAAGGAAACCGTGACCTGACAAACTCCTCAAACAGGTCACCTTCATATCTAGATGTGAAGCATGGCTCCCCACAGTGATTACACAAGGAAATGCATTGTAATTGTTACTGTCTTCAAGCTTTTTTTTTTGCTTTCTTGCCAATTTGTTTGAATTTTTAAAATTAAGAATTTCTAAAAATGCAAATGGTCTCCAAGAAGGAATAAGAACAGCTAACAACCCTGTGGAAACAAGTAGCATGTAGTAGCAGCAGCAGCAGCAGCTTGTAGAGCTCAATCTCACATGAATGGAGCATTGTGCAATCACATGAGACTGATTGGTACTACATAAAAGGTGGCCATACACTTTACAACTCTCGCAAGACTTTAGTCTTGCGAGGGTTGTGAAGTAATTTACAAAATGTACGATCTGCCCATCTTGGACAGGCAGATCGTACTTGCGATCATCGCAAGCCAGCCCCCCTGAGGGGCGGGCTTCCGATGACTGCAATGCAGATCGGGCAGTGTGCGCCGGCCCATTCGGCAGTTGTCGAACAAGCAGGCCACTAACTCACCGAGAATCGTACGATTCCCGGCGGGTTTTCCAGCCTGCTTGTTCGACGGAAGACGTGCGACCGTACAGTAGAAACGGTCGCACACCTTCCATACACTTTGCGATTATCGTACGATCGCGGGATTTCCCGCGGTTCTCGTACGATACTCGTACAGTGTATGGGCACCTTAATACTTTCACATGTAGCTCATGCCATAGGGAGCAAACAGCGATAATATGCTACACCCAGCAAGTTAATCACTGGCAATTTTAGGAGCAGGACGAAGCTACTACAAATCTTCTGTGGAGCTCCAAGTTAGTTAAGTGACTGCAAACAAGTAGTTTGATTTCTTATTGGCAAGAGATGAAAATAGCCCATCTAGCTGAGCCTTTGATAGGGAACTTTATACTGATGTCTCACCGGCTTTTATAACTGTTTAATGCCTCCAGGAGGTGTTGTCCTCGGTCTTCAGGTGGAGTGACAGCGAGCTGGAAATACAAAGATTGACAGGTCAGGTGAATAAAAAGCAGAAGGAGGTGCACCAAACTGGGATCACAAGGTTATCACCAAATAGATGAACTAGGTGTGTCAGCTGAAATACAATTATGCTATTTTCCTAGTAATTTGAGAAATGATAAAAATGTTTTTCGGTTGTCACAGGCACACAAGCATGTTATATCAGTCCCTGGGCAGTTTTAAATGCTCTTCTTTGTATAGTGGGAAAGGAAGCAGCGCAATCTTCTATTTTCAAGTATAAACCAACTTGCAGGCTCTATTCCTGCTGTCTGTCTTTCCACATTGAAGTAAATAGGTGCAGATGGAGAGCTGTATCCACCTCTCTCCTGTGTATATTCTGTAAACAGTGAGACAATATCTAAAAAAACTGAGAGCAGAGGAAACTTGAATGCTGACTCAATGGAAATCATGTGAAAAAGGCAAATACCCAGATCTTTCTCAACATATTCCTGCTTTTTATGACAGGATAAAAAACACCCATGTGCACACATCTTCTAAAAGGGAGCCTGAAAACAGAGCCATTGCCAACCACTGATGCAAAGTATTGAAGCCACTGGGTGTTAATTTGGCAACGAAAAAAAAACAGCATTTTCAGAAAGAAGTCAACAATGACAGCCCTGTATTTTTTTCATGGTTTGCTTTAAAATGTCCTGCAGCTTTAGGTTGTAAGAGGTGTTGTAGTTTGGCATATGAACACAAGGGGGCAGCCTAGGTTTATCTGACAAGAAGACCTGCAAGTCACAGAGTGGAATAGATTCTTTAACTACTTCAAGACCAGGTGTTTAGACCCCCTTCCTGGCCAGGCCATTTTTCAGTATTCAGCGCTGCGGTACTTTCACTGACGTATATTCCGTCATGAAAATTAATTTTATACCATTTTTTGGGGACAGATAGAGCTTTATTTTGGTGGTATTTAAATCACCACTTTTATTTTTTACTATAATTAGGAAAAATGACAGAAAATTTTGAAAAAACCCCTAATGTCACCTAGGATCCCCTAAAAGAAGCTGATAGAGTGAAAAGCACTCACCTCATAGTTCTCCTTTAATGAGAACTCCTGACTCTCTTTTCTGGGTACTCAGATTTACTGTAAAATAAGGACGATGGACACAAAGCATGCTCACAGCACCAGATTTTCCAGCATTCTGCTTTTTGTCTGGGGAAGGAAATTGAAAGAAAGGGGAAGGGGTGAAGGACCGGTTCCTTCTACTGCAGAAATCAAAATAAAGCAAATATTTTTTTTCCCAAAGCCAAAACAAGGAGGTTCCTAAACAGATATTCAAGCCTGTTAGTGCTCTGTTAACATTTTTCTATGGTTTCAAAATAATTTTGAAGACCTGTGATCAATTACTGATCCAAACAATGCAGTCCTGCTGCTGAATCCTAACTGCCGAGGCACTCCCATGCATTTTGCGCTACCAAACATACCTTTCCAAGCTGCAGACGGTCCCAGTTCTCGTTCACAAAGTTCACAATCTCCTCAAAATCAAAGTATTTCTTCTTACTTAGTACCCCCAGATTATAGAGTGTAAGATGCACAATGTCCACCCTGTAAAAAGCACACAGTACCTGGCATCAGCACCAGAAATATTATCCTGCCTCCCCTGCACTATGTATAGCCAGCACATATATTATACTGACAAATTGAAGACTTTCTCCTCAGAACTCTCTGGAAGCAAACCAGAATAAAACCTAAACATACTCAACCTGTGTCACTAAACCTTCAGGAGTCTAGAAAATACTTCACTTCTCCCATTAACATATAGGTGTCTAAAATAATTGGCATGGAATACATTCTGTGCAAGTTAATCATCATTTCTCTCTCTTGTCCATTGAGGGTCACAGAAATTCAAACCTTTCCGTTATATTGGTGCCTACAGGAGGATTGGACTCCAGCAAAAAAAAAAAAAAAAACACTATAGGCCAGTATCAGCTAACCCCTATCACTACCAGCATGCCTCAGTTTTTGCTAGTATCCTAGGAGAATGGATTTCCATTTTGCAGCTCTGCTGTATTAATACTTACTGATTTTTTTTTGCTGGCATCCTTTTTTCTTTAATCAAAACTCTTCTGTACCCTGCTGCTGAAATTTATCTTTTTGATTGCAGCTTTCCAGCATGGTTATCCTCAGCCTGGCTTTTGAAATACAGCGTGTGAACTCACCAGGGAGGCTTTCTGGCTTCAATGTACATCAAAATGCGTGTCTCCATCTTTCCAGCACATTACCAATTCCTCTGCTTAGCTGTGGGGTCTCTGCACTACCAGTTCGGCATCTTGTGGCATCCCCATTGCAGGATAACATTACAACATCCCATTGAAGGAACAATTGGCACGGGTATGGACCAGTGTTTGGCTCTTAGCACTATCAAGATTCAGGTTTCTGCCCTTTCTATTTTTTTAGGGACTGTTGCCTCCCACTTTTTGATTAAGACCTTTGTACAATGTAGCTCCCCGCCCCATGCATTCCACTGTGACTCTATGGGATATGGTTCTATGTGCTTCAGAAAATGAACCCATTAGGAGACATTTATCTCTACCCGCACCCACAAGGTGGTGTTTCTTGTTACCATCAGCACGCGAGTGTCTGAACTTGTGGCCTTATCCTGCAAGGAACCCTTTCTAGTTTTGTACAGTGGTGTTGAGGCCCAGAACTTCCTTCCCGCCTAAGGTAGTTTCTGCCTTTTACCTCAACCAGGACATTGTTCTTTCGTCCCTCTGTATAGCTCCAGTTTACCAAAAGGAAATTTCCCTCCATTGTCTGGATTTAGAATGGGCTTTGAGAGTTTACCTCTCAGCCACTTTCTTTCCGGCAGACAGATTCCCTTTTTGTAAGCCCAGATGGACCCGGCAAGAGTGGACTGGCATATCGTTCTACCATTTCTAGGCATCTCAGACAGACAATCATCTAAGTTCATGATCTCAAGGTTCCGGTTCCACCCTTTTCCTGTCAAGGTCCACTCTAGTAGGTCTGTGAATGTTGCTTGGGCTTTTTGGCCTCACACATCTATTTCTCAGATGTGCAAGGTTGCCACCTTCTCTTCTGTTCACACATTCTCCAAGTTCCACCATGGCGATTGCTGCAGCCAAATCTAATGCCAGCTTCAGGTGTTTGGTCCTTCAGACGACTCTTCAAGCTGCAGGCCATTCTACCATTTTCGGTTTCTCTTGGGCTTATTAGCGAGCGTTTGCGGTATTGCCCACCCCTCAGTTGGGCAGTTTTTAAAGGTTCCAAAGGTTTAAGGCTTTCGGTGTACTTCAATGGACAAAAAAGGAAATATGAATTTTGTACTCCCCAAAAAATCCTTTTCTTGGAGTCCATTGAGGGACATAGGTCTCACCCCAGTATTATTGTGTTTACAATCATGCTCTCGAGAACGCTTTGCTACAAAGCTGTGGCTTGCTGGGAGGGTTTTTTCTGGGCTGTCCTGCAGTTTGTTTGCCAGTGTTCAGTCTTCCAATAGGTGTCTATTGGAGTTCCAAAAATCTTAATTTGGTCATTATTGAGACTTGTGTTCATAGTAAACAAGCCCTTCTGTTTTAGCGGAAGATAGTGTGTATACTGGGGCTTCTAGTGCCATATTTAGAACTTTCATACACTGTATACATGCTATATAAAAGAGGAGAGCAGAACACCAGCCAGATTCCTACTAACAACCGGTTTTACACAGTAACCACAAACTGACTTTTCTTTGGGACTAAACCAGCTGCAGCCACAATGTTATAAAATACAATACTCTGCAAAAGACTGCAGGTATGAAAGCACACATACATATATATATCATTTTTAATTTTTTTAAATAATATGCATTTTATTCTCAGAATTTATGGCCATGCATTTGTATCACAGTGTAAGCATGGAGCATTGGTCCACAAGTGAGCGGAGGATTTAGTGTTTTAACAATAATCACTTTCCTCCCAGGACTCCATGGACCCGCCACCCTGTCACACATCATATAATTAAGAGACACTTTACACACACTGAATTGGCAGCAAGTTACTCTGCGGAGCCCCCGGGGGCAGACCAATCTGTGCTTACACCACTTCTCAGAGCAAATTACTGGTGCATGTTGGGAGGCGGAAACAAGCCACTTCACAATTAATGTTATATTACTGACATCAAAGAAGTGTGACAAGACTGCTGGTACAGAACCTCACTTCTATATTCTCTTCTTCCTCCATAAAAGTAAGTAAAATTGATTTGTTTTCATGTGAAACCAGATCCCAATGTAATAGATCGTTCTCAAACATATTTTGTACTACGGAGTGAAGAGCAGTAGAAAAAAAAATAAAATTTGCCAGTTTTGTTGTTTAAAATTTCAGACTAAGCAGATTTGTACGTAAAATAAAATAGCATTTCTGAAATAGTGTAAGAAGAGTGCCTCATCAGTGATTGTTTAGTTCCACCTTTTTCAGGATTTGCTGTGGGACTAAAATATCTCTTTTTAGGGGATAATATAATATCTATCCATCTATAGATCTATACATCTATATAGATATATCTGTACAGATATATCTATATAGATATATCTATATAGATATATCTCTATATCTATCTATAGATAGATCTCTATATCTATACACTCACACACACTTTGGCTTAGTTAATAATAGGAGTAAAAAGTGACATGTTGTTTTCAGCATAAAATTATAATCCACTAAAATAAATAAACAACACTTTACATGACATGCAGGTTTAGGTCACAGGACTCTTACCATCTCAGAGGAAGGCGCTTTATAAATTCCATGCCTTGATTGCAAACGGAACAAAAAAATATAAAAAACCTTGTAAAAAAAAAAAAAAATACAACACGTAAAGCTCAAAAAGAACCAGTAACCGGCAGAAGCACTATGGCAGATGGGCTCTGTAGATGTTGAGAACATGAAAATCTACAGTGGAGGTAATGAGGTGCTTTAAAGTGCAACATCAGTGTATATGTAAAAAATCAATAAAACAAGATCATTACATAAAGTTTTTTTGTGTTTAAAGTTTCTGTGGTGCTCTGTGACATGTAGGCTGTCATCTAAAAGGCAGATTTAAAAATGACTTGTTGGTACAACAGGAAACAGCCTGCCCGTACTAGAAAGAAGCAGCCATTAAAATATAAATTATGTGCAGCAGGTAATGGAAAGGAACCAAGTAGCTTGCTCCACATATAAGAGAAATTAAACACAATTAAAAGTCAATAGTCAACAGGCAGTTTTGAAACTTTGTTGGAACTTCCATTTCCAAAACAAGGTAAAATACTCAAAACCCGTTTTTAATAAAAAGGAAGTCCATTTGTATAGGTAACCGGTAACACAACAGATTTGGACCATTAAAAAAAAAAACATCCCGTCACTGATGCTAATTTTTTTTTTAAATACAAAAAACAGGTTTAGAATGCTTTAGGAACAAATGTTTCAAACAGATGGGGGCACCAATTACCCTGAAACAGGCTGGCTATTAGCCATAAACGTACCCGTGATGAATCTTGACCTGCCTGCAATTTGTCATTGGTGTTCATTTGCTCAAGTGTCATTAAATGCTGACTTTTAATTCAGTTTGCCCTATAAAAAGTGTTATAAAAGTGAGAGAAAGGCATTCAAGTGGTCTGCACTCTTGCTGACAAGCTTTTCACCACAGGCTCAGAGCAGAATCAAAATGAGACCAAGTGCAGGCTGTGTAAATGATTACCACTGTCATTATTTAAAAGTTGCTGTTTTAATTATGTTACCAAGCCCACTCATAGTCTGAGAACACCAAAAGGTGTGACGGGACATGTAGCCCATGTAGTTTTGCAGACACACAGACATACTTGTGACCAGATCTATATCCACAATTGTTACTATGGGCAAGTCATGTCACTGCCCTGCCCCTCTCTGTTGTCCCTCACAAACATATGGAAAAAGAAAGGATTAAAGAGATTTACTGCCTTAACAGAGGCGGTTAGAATCCAACTCACAGGCTGTGGTAAAATTACAATAAGCAAAATATGTTTTCACATTTACTGTTTTATGGGGATCTAGGTGGCCCCTCACAGAGTCTGTTCAGATCTGTAATTGGCCAGTGGGTACTGGCCTTCCACATTGGGCCAGAGGGCGGCCATCATGTTTTCTGATCTGAACGGGTTAATGTGGGGAATTTGCAGCTCACTGGAAAGGCGGGAAAGTCTCATTTGCTGTAAAAGGCCCTCTGCCGGGTCTCTCAGGAATGTGGAAGAATGTACAGAATGCCATTGAGCTGAGGAAACCACACTGAACTCATTCCATGAAACATTGCTTCAAAGTGACTGTATGCTGAGCCCAGAAACTCTCTGCCCAAAACTGCCAACAATCACTGGACAGCAGCCTGGACATTCAACATAAAATCCACAACAAAATTACTTACCTGCTGCAATCTGAATTATTTCAGGTAGGAATATTCAGACAAATAAAAAAAGGTAACAGTTGGACATTTCCTGTGATATCAGCCAGTTATTATGAAACCAAAAGTCTCAGCTCCCAATCTCAGCATGGACGCTCAGCATGAAACTGCAGAATCTTTTCAGAATCAGGGCCGATTCACACCAGCATGGCTGCTGGTGTGTGTTGTCGGGCACAGTGCACAAGTTCTATGGGCACAGCTCACTGCGATGCGGTTGTACCGCATTGCACCCTGCTGCACTAAAGAAAAACCCACAACATGATAGTATGAACCAAGACCATTTGAAAGAAGGCCGATTGCCTTGTCTAGCACTGGGGCTGCTCTGGAAAAAGCAGCCAGCACAGCTCCAACATATCTGGTGTGAATCCAGCCTTAAGGCTGGACAATGGGCGTCCAAGTGCAGGAACCCGGGACCTGCACGGCTGTGCAAACAGGCTGCTGAGTGCAATTACACGCAGTACCCGTCCCTCCTGGGATCAGGTCTTTTTTGCAACTTTCGTGTTTTTAGTTTGTTTCCTACAACTTTTTTGTTTTTTTAACATCATGTCATCATGTCCAATTTACGGCAACCAATCAGCTTCCTACTATCTGTGAGCAGGTCAGCGAAGATAGTATTTTAATTGGCTGCCATGGGCTAATGCACATCATTAGTGCCAGCAAGTATTAGGCAGCAGGTCACAGGTGTCATACAATGATGAGACACCAACATCAGTTAGTGCTTACAGCAGTCATGCAAAGATCAGACTGTACAAGATTTGTCTAGCGTGCAAAAAAACCACTTGCATCAGTCAGAAGGGCTGCTGGCCACATGCACAGACTTTACAACTTTTAGGAAAATCTCTGTGGAAGCAAACGTTGATCCTTCTGTGTGTAGAAAATGGGACATCTCTGTACAAGTAAAAACTGATCCTTCTCTCCTAAGCAAAGGAAGCAAGATGACTACTGTGTGCACGGAGTCACTGCTAATACTTAGATTGGTCCCTGTGGTTCAGTAATGTAGCTGAAGATAAAATAGAAGTCTCAACTACTGCCAAGATTTGCCTTTGTCATGTCCCAATTACAGCAAATAAGTGTACAGATGCAGTAATGAACCCTTCTGTAATGAACCCTTCTGGCTCTATCATCACATAAAGAGAGCTACAATACAGTTCAATTTGCCCGACAGAAAGTCAGCTCTGCACAGAAAGTATTCTCTCCTCTCCCTTCCAATTGCAAATCCAATATTTCCTGAACTTTTTGCAGTCAGTTTTTCTGGAAGTTACATACTTAGCTTGGAACAGTCTAGAGGAAGTGCGTAATAATCAATGGGTATAGATTTGTAAAGCAGCAATTGTGACATTCACTAGACATAAATCTTCATGATGTAGGTGTTTTACATTATGAGTAATGATTCACCTCCAGTGAACGTCACAGTCACTGCTTTATAAATATACTCCGAAGTGAATGTAAACATGCTTGGGATGAAAAGCATCATCACTCACTCCGTTTCTAAAGCTCTTTTCTGTAAACCAACCTGTATTTTGGATGTACTGGTCCTATAAAAGGAACCCCTACACAAATTACACATTATCATTCAATAACTTTATAGAAAAGGCATTTGTAAAGATGGATGCACATGCTCTAATATCACAAGATTATCAGAAGGGAATATGATACAGACAAGGGCAAAAACATACATGCACACTGTGTAATAGCTATCCATCTATATCATTTTTTGTTGACTCTCCCTTGTAACAACCAATGATACAAAGCAACAGACCCCCCTATGCCAATGTTAGTATATTCTAAGCCGTAATACCAGTCTGGCTGGCCTTCATTAATGCAGGAATGTGATGACCTACCTTTCCTGGAGAAAATGCTGCTTCAGACTTTCTCCAGCAATGGACCCACATGTGAGCATTAAGCATTTGGTCACAATCTCTACTGAATTGTAGGATCAGCAAGCCTAAACTCTGATGTTGCCTCAACAGAGATCACATTTCTAAGTGCCTGGACATTCACATGTGTGACCAGCACTGCAGTGAGCAGAAAGCAGAATTTATTCCAGGAGAGGTATGTGTTAGTTTTTATTCATCCATTCCAACAAACATTTAGGTACAGCTCCCTTTTAACATGTGCAGCTCTGATAAGGATCGTCCCAACAGAAATTCCTGTGCAAACATGTTAAATGTTTGCTGGCTACTTGGTGAAGAAAGGCCCTCTGTTTTACTACACAGCTCACATTCCTGACGCCATGTCTGTATGACATGGTGGAATAAAAACAAGCTGCTGTAACAGCCCCCTTCAGTACAATTTACAAAGGTAATAAGCTGTCAGCAGCGAAGCATTTACTGCCTGTTAACAGCTCTGTGCAAAGTGTCAACAGTCAGGAGACCACATAAATACCCAAAGCTTTTCCCACACCATGTAGGGGGGGCTTCATTACAATAACTCAGAACTGCAGCTCTACCTGTCACCAAACAGCATGGGCTCACTCAGACACTGGATACACGCTTCATGGAACCATTGCCGACACCGATAACAGTGGATCATCTTTAGGTACCACCTATTAAAAGAAACAAGAAAATATATCAATTAGTTTACAGAAATGAACAGAAGCTCCCTTATCCTCTACAAACAGGTTTTATGAAAGACTTGTGTTGCGGAAACTGTTGGCGCTATATAAAATTAATAATAATAAATAATATTTTTAATTTAGAGGGAGTTTACACTTCACACCCCCCACCACTGGTACAGTAACATGGTTCATTCATCTTCCAGCAGTCAGTCAATTTTGGAGGGACACAGAAGGGAAAAAGGGATTACCTTTTTACAGCAATAATGTCTGTTTGCCCTTCTGTTCAACATCTAAAACATGAGGTCTTGAGGTTAGTGCAGTATTTATCACAACTGAGTTTTAATATAAAAGTTTTACAAGCGGAAACCAGTTTGTTGGTAAGCTCGCTAAAGACATCAGTTCTCTGGATTGGCAAGGGATGGAATAGTGTCATTTACTTCATTAAACCTTCCTACCTACCCCTGAAGAGATCAGCTCTTATTCTCGTCTTGTCTGACAAGTTGGAAGAATAACAGTGTAATGTTTGGAATATTCCCCCGTGTATACTGTACAAAGTAGCACCATATGTAATAACAGAGGAAATAATTCACTAGAACACGAAGTGGAAAAGATCACAAAACACTCAGACACCGCGCAGGAAATAAAAAGATTTATATTAAACGCTGGCAGCTCATTAAACACAAACTTGCTCTATATAGAAGAGTATAGAACTATTATATCACACATACGGACACTAAAAAGATTCCATCACATGACATCTGGTATGATAGCTGCTATAAATATCACCCAAGATGTAGGGTTAGTGTTAGGTTAAGCGCGTCAGTGACAATTTCAGGGTTGGGGATTCTGGTGCAAAAACTCAACTGAGCTAAGACACTGAAAAGTAAACATATTCCCCCATAACTCCAACGTCTCCTACACAATGAAGAGCGGTCACATACACCCACAAATGACAGCTGTAGACCTTCTGTAAAATCCAGCCGACTTCCTGTTCTGTATGCCCACACCAAAATAATACAAACTGCAACTTTAATGTCCCTTTAGCCCAAAATGGCAGCTAACACAGTGACATATCGGGGATTTAAAGTGACAATAGTATATTATTGCATGGTTTGCACAGTAGACTTTTTTTTTTAAACCGTTTGGAAACTCCCCCCCCCCTGATTTTGCTGCCCCAATAAATGTAAGACATCAACTGAAGCTGCACCATCATGCAGGTATATAGCAGAATGTGTGCCTTACTCTCCGGGCCCTCCGCAGTAACAGTAGCACTGCTGCTGATTGGTTCTGTGTGGAGAGTCCCAATCCAGCTCCTCCGGATTGTATGTGAGCAACATCTTCACTGCTTGCAGTGCCTTGGCGATGGGGCCTTTCTTCAGAGCGCCTCCTTTCTGCAGAGAAAGAGCAGCATTAGTGCTATATGCAATACACCAGCGGTAGTCAACCTTGGCACGCCAGCTGTGGTGAAAATACATATCCCATCATGCCTCTGCAACTGTGACTGTCAGTCTTGCAATGCCTCATGGGACTTGTAGTTCCACAACAGCTAGAGTGGCAAGTTTACCCACCCCTGTAATACTTTATCTTTATTTCTGTGAGGAATCTACTGCCAATGCCAAACTTAGTGTTAGCCCCTCTACTGCTGCCACCACTGTATGTATAATGTATTGCTGGGATTTGTTGTATTCCTCTATAGCTGGTGGTATTCTGCATTGCGCTGTATAGAGGACTACAAATCCCAGCCATAATACATTATCCAGCGCAATGCGGAATGCCACCAGCTATAGAGGAGTACAACAAATCCCAGCAATAATACATTATACAGTGGTGCAATGTCAAATACCACTAGCTATAGAGGACTACAAAACCCAGCAATAGTACATTATACAGCACACTGCAGAATACCGCCAGCTATAATGTACTATTGCTGGGATTTGTTGTATTCCTCTATAGCTGGTGCCATTCTGCATTGCGCTGTATAATGTACTATTGCTGGGATTTGTAGTCCTCTATAGCTGGTGGTATTCTGCATTGTGCTGTATAATGTACTATTGCTGGGATTTGTAGTCCTCTATAGCCGATGCCATTCTGCATTGATTGCTGTATAATTTTACACTTTCCATTTCACTATATTGCACACACACCTTTTTTTTTTCTTTTTCACTTCCACTGCTCCAAGCTTGCTCCTGTGATGGACTACAATCTCAATACAAACTAGTAGTCCCATGACTGGAGCCATTTTTAAAAATGTCTTATTTTATTTTTCATCCGATTAATCGAACTTAATAATCGGCTAACTAATCGTTAGCTGCAGCTTTATCTAGTATAATCACATATTGGGTCGGCCATTGAAGTAAACCTTTGCATGGGCAAACCACCGGTTCTCATAAAGCAGATTTACATTTACTAATGTAATCCTGTGTCCCAAGTCAGTATATAGTAGGCTACTGCCCGTTATGTGCCGACAGTGCAGAGTGGCGCTGCAGCCGGGAAAGATCCTGACAATTTTGTCAAGATCCACCCCGCTGCCTGACTGGAAGCTGGCTTAGCCTCTCTACAGCCAGAGCCAGCTGTCCCCACCCCCTCCAGTCTGTCCCTCCAAAGAGTGCTGGAGGAATGGAGAGGGGAGGGGGAATCCCTGCAGTGAGGAATGACTGACCTTCACTGATCTCTGCAGGAAGAAGCCGTGGCTCACAATGTGTGAAGGGCTCACAAACCATTCATTTAGGGATTACATGTACTCTAAAGTGCTTGTTCTCATTAGTCATGCCGCCACACATTTTTTCTAGCTTGTGATGCAGACATCAGAATATACATAATTTCCAATAGGATCAGTTCACACCGAGTTACTGCTCTGGGAGGGAAAGAAAAAAAAAAAAAGAGAGCGAAGGACTTTACCCAAAATAAAATAGGGCCCTTTGAGGAAAAAAAAAAGCACCAAATTAAAAATTTGCAAAGCACAAGTTATTGCAACCATTTTGAAGGAACAAGTCCTGAAGTAGACATAAACATGTGAGGCTAATCTGATGCGATGTCTATGGGCTGTCGCATAAACATGTATGCTCACCTTGCCTAACCTTACATGTTTATATGAATGAAGTGCAGAGGAGGAAGGTGGAGACAGCAGATACAAGAAGGTAAAGAAATAAGAGGTTAGAAATTCTGCTTTGTATGGTACAGAGCACAATCTAAGAGAACTTCTGGAATATAATGTGCAGGCCGTCTATACATATGGGCCCAAGGACTGCTGCACAACCTGTAAAACTTGGGTCTGTGGCTGGCATTAGTGAATTTGCTACTAGCAAGCCAATTGTGTATAGAGCTTTTATAGGCTTCCCAAGTTTATTATTTTCAGAGAGGACTTAATACTGTGGGGCCACCATAAACAGGCACAGTGTACACCCAAGCACACGGTTCTCTGCGACCTTGCTCGCACCAAACTTTCTTTCTCTAACCATTCTTCTAAACATGGCGCTTCATCATAAAGCTGTACATATTTGTGTTTGGCAGTCAGCAGAACATCCATAATCCACACAGTAATATCTAGCTAAATAAGAGAGCACTAGATTCCTGTGTGTGTAGCTGCCAGACGCTTCCAACCACAGGCAGAGCTAGCCGATGAGGTTCCTTGGGGGCTGGGCCAATCTCAGCAAAGGCGATTCAGCTTTAAAGGGCCACTAGACACAAAATACAAGCTGGTTCATGGAAACATATATCGTATTAATGGATTATGAGGCAAAGCTTTAAAAAAGAGAGGGAGCGAGGCTGGAAGGACCAGTCTAAGAGCAAGCCGGCTCAGACGTTAAGGTCAGTAGAACTTTTTTTTTCCCCTGCCTAGACCAAAGCGAGCAGTTAACCCTTGCAGTGCAGGGGTAGCCCCACTGCAAGGGTTAATAACAATTTTGCCTGGAGTTCTTCTTCTAAGAACTGTTTTTACAACAATCAGGTGACCTCTAATAATCCCATAGAGGAAAACTACTAAGTGACACATCAGCCTTTTTAAGCTCATCTTAAGCTTCCACATTACTCCTTTTGCCTTCAAGATAACCTGTCTGTGGTTTATTAGCCTGAGCAGAGCACAGCCAGGGCCGGCCTTAGGCCTTTAGGCGCCCTGTGCGAGAAAGCTTTACAGCGCCCCTCAGTGACCACACCCCTCAGTGGCCACACCCTTTAGTGGCCACACCCCCCAGTAACCACACCCATTTATCACCCATATTTTTGGTAAAATATAAAAAGACGGGGTCACGTCGGGTAAATAGACATCAACCATGTCATGCTTTAAAATTGCGCGCACCCGCAAAATCGCAAAAAATTACCATGCCCAAAATTGACCAAGGGGGGGGGCAGACGAGGGAGCGCTGTCATATCGGATGGCCAGCGGTGAGGGCGAGAGAAGCCGCCCCCAGGACGAGCTGTGTCGGCCGCACGGCACCCTTGTTGCCATGGCGCCCTGTGCGGCCGCACTGCTCGCACACCCCTAAGGCCGGCCCTGAGCACAGCACCCACTGCACAGTACAAGGCAGTAAATGGCACAGTACAATCCTCCTGGTCACGTGTATGCGAATGCAACCTCTAATGATTTACTGCCCCTGAACCATCACGAGTTGTCCTCATAACGAATCAGGGGCTGTAAATGCACCCAACTACACTACCACCCTGGAATTAGCATGGCTCCCACACCCAGCTTAGTACATTAGTACACATACAGCCAGTATTGTATTACTACCATCGTGGACAGAGATAAATCTGCACAGAGACTGCACAAGGGTACACAGGACACTGGTTGCTATGTACTCTTATGCTTAGGAAACTCCCGAGTGGTACTTTAGCTGTCCTTTAAATGTATTGTAGCAGAAAACTTGGAACTCAACCCAGAGTTGAGTTCTGGGTGCTTAAAAAAAAAAAAAGATCTACCCGGGGGAGGTCTACCCGGGGAACATAAATTTACTTTGGTAATGTTACCCGAAAGAGTCATTCATTGTTGCTTTATACCAACCAGGATGCAAAAGGTTTACTGGCAACTAAAGTGGTTTGTAGTTAGACCAGCAATTATTTTTCTTCTATTTGTATACAATTAAAATAACACTTCTTACTAACTATCTTCTTACCCGGACTGCCAACACGAAGATGCAGCGCCTACAGAACCAAGGCTCTAGAGCACCCTGCTCACCATTTTCCACAGCGGGTATGTGGCACTTCTGGTGGTACCCTGAAAAACATCAAGAATATTTACTACAACTCCCACAAACCACTACTATAATTACCAGACCTCCAATGAACCCCATCACAGAGAAAAACACCTGTGTGTTTAGGCTCTGCCTTCTTGTTCCATAATTTCAGCAGTTCCACCATTTTGCTACCATCTCATTAGACTGGAGCTCTTCTAAAACACATAAAATCTATAACTAGAGGAGCTGCTAAAAACAATACAGCCGTAGCCTATTTTACTTGTTAATTGGAACTGCTCTGATTTTACCTTCTGGCTAATATGAAAAGTGGCTAATGTGCAAACTGTAAACTAAAAGAATTAGGTGTATGTACCTAGCCTCACAATATACTGGCTGACAGCATAGCTGGGGCTAAGCATTAAACCCTGATCTGCATTATGGGAACCTAGCCTTTTGCCCAGGTTTCGACCTGTTCAGCTGTAACATGTGTCACGTCAATGGCGACTTACTAACTAAGAGAGAGAGAGATCCTTGTTTGGTGGAAGAGAAACAAGGGGAGAACTTTGGGAAGGTAAACAGGGCTGTAAAACAACTATCTCAGTCTGCAATGCTGCTGGCCACCACTGGAGGGAGACTGGCCCAAACCCAGCTGGCTGGACACATACAGTCAGGTACAATTCTTGCATACAATCTGGTGCACTCAAGATTTGTGAAAAACCAAAGCAAATCCCACACACTTCTGAGATTCGCCATTGTATCTCT